TACAGCAAAGAGGGACATCTTCATAAGTAGTCACTGAACAGTGGCCCAGTGCTGCACACAAGAACCTCCTCCAAAATAGTCATCCTCGAATTTGATTTAAACTTTCTGGAACAGAAAACTCAAAAGGTGTCGATTCCATGTTCAAAACCATCCATTGAACTACTAAAAAGATCTTGCACATACTTATCTCAGTGTAACTTTTCCCTATTGCACCTAGTTCTATACCATAGAACCTTTTCCATTACACAAACTCTCAAGTTTCAACAAAGCTATGATGAGCTGTGAAATCCCATTTTCTGGTCAGAATCCTTAATTCTTTCAATCACTCTTCAGACTCTAGTTTCATAACTTTTCAGCACTCAGGTCACTCCCCATGACAGACTCTAGTTGTATGATATTGAGTAACCCACTTGTACCTCAACTTGCTAAGATCTATAAAATTAGGATATGGTGGTACATATACTACATTAGATGATGATAAGTGCTATGGAGAAATATACAGCAGGATAAGAGGAAAATAGAGGTCTATATCACTCAAGAGGGTAGGAGGGAGGGTTGCTGTGTTATATACAGTAGCCTGGGAAAGACTCTTCGAAAGGTACATTTGAGTAGAGACCTGAGGAAATGAGGAAGCAAACTATGTTGGTATTTGGAAGAGAAGTCCTGGCTAAAATAAAAGTAAATACAAAGGATGTCTACTGGTGTGGTCTGAGGAGCAACAAGGAAGCAGGCTGAAGAAGAGTGATAGGGAGAGCAGTCAGAAACGGAGAGAGGAGTAGCACTGTAGAACTCTGTAGGCTTGGTTTAACCTTAAGTGAGATGAAGAAGGCACCAGAGAGTGAGACTGCCTAACTTGGGTTTTAAATGACTGCCGTATTGAGAATACACTGCGCAGGAAACAAATAGGAAGTTCAGGCAATAATTGAAATGAGTGATGAAAGTGGCTTGGACAAGGGTGACAGAGTGAAAGTCTGTAAGAGATGATAATTTCTGGATATACTGTGAAGATAAAGCCAAAGGAATTGCTGATGAATGGATGTACAATATAAGTGAGAGAGAGAGAAGTCTGGGATGACTACAGTGTTTTGGCAATGTGGGTCTGTACTCCAGGAGACTCTGTTACTTACTGTATGACCTAGGCAAGTTACTTATCAAGTCTGCCTCAGTCTCTCCATCTGTAAAGTGGGGATAATAGCAGTACCTGTCTAGTAAGACTGTTGTGAAGAATACACACACACACACACACACACACACACACACACACACATATATATATTTTAGATTTTATTTATTTGACAGACAAAGATCACAAGTAGGCAGAGAGGCAGGTGGGGGTGGGGAGCAGGATCCCCGCCAAGCCGGGAGCCCGACGCAGGGCCGATCCCATGACCCCGAGACCATGACCTGAGCCAAAACCAGAGGCCTCAACCACTGAGCCACCCAGGTGCCCCAATATATAGAGAAATATATCTGGGAATTGGGAATATAAAGATTGTATGAAAACCATGAAACTAAAAAAGATCCTTCTAGGGAGGAAATATAGAATAAAAAAGAGCCCCCAGAACTGAGCACTGGGGCACTCAACATTTTAGAAGTTGGGACAACAATGAGGAACCAGCATTCCCTTTCCAGGAATGGCACCCTGCATGTCAAAGTAACAAAGTGTTCCCAAGAAGAAAGGAGTTATTCAGTGGTTTCAAATGATGCAGAGAGGTCTAAGAAATGATCATGGACCATTGGGTTTTATAACACGGAGACACTGACAAGTCCAGATAATTAAGAACTATTTTGTACAGTGGGAATGAAAGTCAGGTGGAGTAAATTCATGAAAAAGTGAGAGGAAATGAATTGGAAACAGCAAATATGGACAACTCTTTAGAGGAATGCTGATGCAAAAAGGAACAGAGAAATGGGTGAGCACCTGGAGAGGAATGTGGGCCAAGTTTATTATTGTTTTGAGAGGAAAGAAAACATGGTCTTTAACACCAATGCTAATGCCTCAGTGGGAGAGTAAGAAATAGATGATTCAGGAGAGGAGTAATTGTTGGCAGCAGTCCTTGACTAGGCCAGAAGGGACAGAATACAGTTATAAGAAAGGGCATGGCATGGCTCAGATAAGACTTAAAACACTGGGTTATTAATTCATTTACTCAACATATGTTTACTAAGCAAATAATTTGTTCTTGACACTATTCTGAACACTTGAGGATACACTGGTAAACAAAATCATATGAGAAAACATATGTAAAGCACTTAGAAGAGTATGTCTGGCACATAGTAAGCACCTAACAAATACGAGCTAAATAAAGATAAACCTTAACTGTGTTCATTCAAATCTCTGATGAAAGATGTGGACCAAGACAGTGCCCTAAAGCTTGCCACTAAAGAACTACCAGAAGTCTGAATAATAAGCTTTTAAGTTGATAAAATACTTACTTTTGATGGTGTGAGAGCACAGCTTTAGAACTCAATGAACACAACCTCTTAATTTTGCAGAAACCAGTTAAAAAGAGAAAGCTAAGTTGACTTGCCCAAAGTTACTAAATTAATTCAGTGAAGAAACAAGGGCCAAAATTAAAACCCGGTTCTCCTACTTCCTACTCTGGTTTTCATTACACTTTCTTTAATCTCTCTCTTCCCCTCTCACTCTGTCTCTGTCTCTCTCACAGAAAGGCTAAAAATGTTAAAATTGCAATCTCTGTCTTCCCTCTACTTCCGCCTAGCCCTCCTCTCCCTCCAATTTGCCATAGACTATATTTGACTCCTTACCAATCTATTCTAATCCAATTAAAAACTATAATTGTTAAAAGATGTTTTGGGAGAGATACAGTATTTTAATTACCAAAATTCCAGGTCATTTTCTATTTAAAAAAAAAAATCTACAATTAAACATAGCCCTGTGCATCACATATAAAGAAAATATCACCATGCTGATATTGCTGGTGAGGAACATTTACTGTAAATGACCTTATACATTTTTAAAATAAGAGTATTTCAAAAAATAATACATCAGAACAGGGGATTTTTTGTTTTCTAGAAAACTTAACAAAAATACAACAATTTTTAAACACCCATTATCAGGACTTTTAGCACCACGGATGCCAACAGATCCATTTCTTACTTTTACTATATAAGCCACATTGAAGATACACTGAAAATGCCAATTAAATAAAATTAATTTCCCTTTTCTCTCCTGCATTGTTAATAATTGTTTAACAGGGGTTTAGGATTCAGCCCTAGTGAATAAGCATTCCACTTCAAACTAAAAGAAGTTTCTCTAATATAAATTAAATAAATATATCTGGGAAACCTAATAATTTTATCTTTAAAACAATACCCTGCAGATTCAAGCTTCAAACTCTAGTTTCTATTATGAACGACCTTTCAAGGTTTTGTGTTTTGTTTCTGTTTGTTTTTGTGTTTTTTTTAAACCCAGAATGTCCTTCAACTTCTAGCTAAAATCTTCCACTGTGATAATTACTATTCCAGCTTTTTTTCTTAACCTCTCCTCATCCCCCAAATGCGGCATATCTACACCGGTGTGTCCGTAACTGTGCAGCACTCTTACTTTCTTGAGTCACTAAAATGAGCATATCCCGGATATCAAAGTAAGACAGCAGTAAGGATGTGGAAATAAGCATTTCGTGTGGAAATAAACATTTCATTTGAAAATTAATTTTCTATTTTCATCCCATGCTAAATGCGACCAAAATATTAAACCTTAAATATTAAGCCTTAAACACCCGAATTTTACCTCAGTCGTTACACATGCTAAACAATGCTATTTGGGCATTAACAGCACAACCAAGTGAGGAAATGCTCCAACCACCTTCACGTTGGAACTTGCTTCTTCGAGGAAGCTGCCTGGACAGTCTCAACGACTACCACATACCGAACACGAACTGCCTTTTCCAAATCTAGCAGTGGTGTTCCAGTGTTCTGCATCCTTAAGCGCACACGCATTTTTCTTACGCATCAGCAGCCCGAGGACGGACGGAGACCTGTTCTACCCGCGGCAAACCCCAGGGACCAACGCAGCATGTGCCGCGCACAAACTAGGTACTCACGGAAACTATTAATAGCATATGAGAGGTCTGATATGCACAGTTTCATTTAGTCCTTCCAGCAGCCCTAGGAAGCAGGGACTCTTCATCACTGCGATCCTACGATGATCACAAGGAGGCTCAGAAGGGTTAAGTCGCTTGTCGGATCACACAGGTAGCAAGGGAGCATCAGACCCGGATTCCAAGCCCGACCTGCGGGAAGCCTTCTTAACCACTTCATTCCTGCGGCCCCCCGAGTCCAGGAGGCTCGATTCGGATCCTGGAAACAGAGGTCACTGGGCAAGCCCAGAGGCCTCTGCCCAGGTTCGGACACCTCGCCCCGCCGCCCAAGTTGAGACCAAACGAGGTTTTTGAGCGCGAGGGGGGATGCGCGGCGGAGAGAATAGGCTCGTTGTGACCCAGAGAGGATCACCCGTCCCCGCCACTCCGGTGCCCGAGCTTACACCGAGTGCCGCGGGAAGCCCACCCCGCCCGCCCCCGCCGGGGACTCTCGGGCTGTCCCACCTGAGACTAGACGTGCGGCCTTGGCTGCTCCGAGCCCCGCGCGATTGACGCGAAGCCGTGCGCCCGGAGGGGAGGAGCACTAGGAAGCCAAGATGAGAACCGACACACCTCGGGCGGGAGGGGCAGAAGCGGCTCGCCCTCACCCTCGAACAGCAGCGAGAGCTCTTCGGTGGCTCAGCGACCGAGGGAAAAGGAGAAATTTCAGTGGCGGGTTCCCCCGCGGAGCAACCTGGTAAGAAAAAGACAAACTGCCGCTGCAGCACGGACGGCGTTGAGTGTGACACCCCCATCGCCCCGCCCCTTCCCGTGAGCGCCCGGAGCCACTTCCGGTGGCGGCTCCTTTGCCGGCTCCAGGCTCGAGCGGCCCCGGGCCCGTTCGTAATCCCTGACGTGCCCCTGGGCGCGCCGGCGAGACCTCCCTTCGGTCTCCAGGAACCGAGCACAGGCCGGGAAGGCCTGTCCGGTGCCGTTTCCCGCAGAACGTCCTGCACTGAAGTGGTAAAATGTGCTGCGAGAAGTGGAGCCGCGTGGCCGAAATGTTTCTCTTCATTGAAGACCTGGAAGAGGATTATAAAATCCTATGCCTCTGCTCCAGGGCATTTGTAGAGTAAGTAAAAAAAGGTGTTCCTCTTCATCTCTAGCATAGTTATTTCCCAGAAATGTAGGCCTTGCCAACTACTTGGAATTGGGATCCACGGCCGGAGTGTAAGACCCTTGGGCAGGGTGTTGTTTCAGGAAAAAAAAAATCTTGGGCTTCACGGAGAGGTCGCCGGTTGCCATTAAGTCAAAGAGTAAAATCTACTTTGTAGGCTGTTGTGGAAAAAAAAAAAAATGTGGTAGCTGATTTATTTCGTTTTAATGAGCGGACATTTAAAAATCGGGAGAAGTGAAATGTAAAATGAAATCTCCTTAGTGGCTGTGACGTCACAAGTTGAAGGCTAACTCTTGCGGGTTAACATTTTTAAAACCTTAAGTTTTATTAAAGCGCAAATGCGCTGAAATAGAGTTTCTAATTACCCGAGATAAAAGATTTAGCTCTTTGGAGTTTTGAAATGTATTTTTGGAAAACATGTGTTTGGGGTAAACATTGCCCTGCATGGAAGATAGCCAGTGGGTAGGAAAAAACTGACTGAAGAATTGTGAGGCTTTCTTGATATTAGGTGTGTGAGTTTAGCCACTTGAATCTTTTCTTCATCCCTAAAACAGGTATATCTACCCCGGATATCTCACAGGCTGATTGTTAGATTCAACTTGAGGAAGCAAATTTTATGTGCTAGAGTTTTAATATAGGTTATTGGAGTAAAGTTTAAGTTTGAAGCAATTCTTACTGTTTGCCATTATGTGTTTGTGGAGTAATCGGAAAATTAACCCAAAAGGAAGTTAAACACTTTAATTAATTTTAAAAGTATTGTCTTTGTACACATGCATGCATGTATTCATTCAATAAATGCTTTTTGTGCTTCTTTGTATTAGCTACACTGATGGGCACCGGGGTACAAGACACTGCCTGTCCCACACCCTTTGAGTTTACTTTCTAGCAAAGGAGATGAATATTAGGACAACTGTTACATATATATTTAGCAAATTACACTTGTAAGTACTGTAAGAGAAAAGTACAGATATATATGATAGCAGAAACCTAACCTTTCTCCACAGATCACAGAGATTGTTGAAGGAAGTAGTATTTGAAAAGAAGTCTAAAGAGTGGAGATAAACTGGGGTATATTTGAGCGGGAAGGAGCAACAATCAGAATTCTGTGTAAAAAAACAAAAGAAAGCCAAGGCTACATACTTAGTTCTTAGCCTAAAGCTGGATTTGAGTCTTGGGGCTGTACTCCTTTCCAGAAAGAACAGAAAGACAATGTAAGTTATAAATGTAAAAGGTTGGGAAAAATTGTCATGCCATACCCCTACAAAACTATGCTTCTAGATTTCAATTAAAGCAACTTTATTTTAAACACAATGGAATTGGTGTATAAATCAAACAATTAGTTTGAATTTAGTCTTATTTGAATTAAAACATTCCTCCTCTAAATTTCAGGTAATTTCATACATATTTTTAAAACTTAGAACCTTTATTTACTTAGTTCAAGTAAAATTGAGTTCAAAATAGAGAAAAGAATGGCTTTTTCCTTTAGATCATTTAAGGCTCAGATAAATTATAACCCTTCAGAATGAAAAGAACATTTTGAAATTATTTCCAGTAGCCACTTGAGAAGTCTTTGGGATCACTTCTAGGCCTTTTGGCTAAGATCAAGTGGAGAAATCTTTGGGACTTTGGAGACATGCTGGAATTTCAGAGTCTTATTAGTATAACCCTGCTTTCCAGATAGGGAAAAGGTCCATTTCACAGTCTTGTTTGTTTGTTTCAGTCTTAAAACAGCACATTGATTCTAGAATAAGTTACTAAACTGAGAAAATAGTCCATGTAGCAGAAAACAGAAAATGAGCATTAGCATAGGTGCCTAATACCTCTCTAGTATTGAATTGATTCTCATACTGAGTAAGGTTATTGTACATCTCTCCTCAAAGGCAGGAAATAGAACCTAACATTGTTAACGAATGTTTATCATCTGAGGACATTATATTAACATACTGTCTTATGAGCTCTAGAATAATAATTCTGTTTCATCTATGCATTCAGGTTTCCATTCGTTATATATGTATGATGTAATGGAGCTCTTAAAAATAATCTTTATAGAGCCACCTGAGTGGCTCAGTCCCATTAAACAACTGCTTTCAGCTCAAGTCATGATCCCAGGGTCCTGGGACCAAGCACTACATCAGGCTCTCTGCTCAGAGGGGAGCCTGCTTCTCCCTCTGCTGCTCCTTTTTCTTCTGCTCTCTCACTCACACTCTATCTCCCTCAAATAAATAAAATCTTAAAAAAAAAAAAATCTTTATAACAGCTCAGTAGTAAAATGAAAAAATACTTTGTGTTAATTAACATATCTGAATATAAAATATCTACACTATGATTACAGTTATGTAAAATTGTGTGTTATATATACAAAGCCTAGAATAGGACATAGGAAAATGCTGAAATGATGGAGTAGCAAATTCTTGTTATAAAATTGTTTATGCTATAAATAACAGGCTTTACTTAATTTTTTTTAATCATTTTAAAACAATTTCAAACTAGCAAAAATAGGTCAGTACAGGAGTAGAGAATGGGTTCAAACTTAAAAACAAACAAAAAACCTAAAATAGGTCAAAGAACTCTAATATTCCCCTCTTCTAGACTCACCTAGTATTAACAGTTAACTGCATTTGCTCCATCTCTCCCTCTGCATACACACAGACACACGTGTGTGCCCCCCTCCTCCCCTGCACACAGTCTTTAGTCTTTTTCTGAACCACTTGAGAGCAAGCTGCACATATGATTCCCCATTACTCCTAAATACTCCATTGTGTATTTCCCTAAAACAAATGTATTCTCTTTCATAACCACTGTAGTGGGTTCACATTTCCCCAACGTTCCCAGCAGTGTCTCTTTTCTTTCTGATCCAGAGTTCCACATAGTTCCTCTTATGACTTGTCAGTCTCCTCTTTTGGAAAAATTCCTCACCTTTTCCCTCCCTATCATGGCCTCAAAATTTTAAAAAATGCAGACCTTATCTTGTGTGCTGACCTTCTTTAACCTGGGTCTATCTGACATTTCAACACGAACAGAGCTGGGCCATGCCGTCTTGGTAGGAATGCCACAGAAATGATCCTGTGTTTGGCTCTGCATCATTTCAGTCACTTGCTGTGGACCCATTCCACCCCTGATGACCTTGACCTCCATAACCTAATTATGTTGCAGTCTCATAACTATCTCCACTGTAAAGTCAAAGTGGTTCCATTTGTGTGTATTAGTATTTGGAGGGAAAGTACTCCAGTGTTCGTGCCCTGTTCCTGTGCCTGAATCAGCTGCCTCTGAAGGTTTCCAAAGAGCAATTCTCTGTCATTCTGCTTTTATTAGTTGGCATTCTGCATGGAGAATGCCTTCTCTCCTCATGTATTTGTTTACTCCTTTATTTACATTAACATGGATTCTGGATTATTCATTTATTAGTACATTCTATTTTATTACTCTCATTTATTTTGATGTTCACAAGTTTTAGCTGGTATGGGCCCCTCGAGGTGGCTTGTATATCATTTTGATGTGTCCCTGGCATTCTCCGACCTCCTCCTAACCCTCTAGCACAGAAGGTGACCCAGTCTTATCTTTTATAGTCCGTGCTTCAACCTGGAGCTCCCATTTCTCCAAGGTACCTTGGCTCCTTCTAGCAGAGTAGTGTTCAGAAACCAAGACTTGCGTGGTCACTGTGTTTATTGCTCCTGGGTTCTCATTGCCTCTGCACTCTCTCAGCAGACACAGTTAGTCAGGATATATCTGTATTTTACATGCATACATAAATACATATATGTGTGTAGAAAATCTTGGCTATCATTATCCTAAATATACTTACTTGCTCAATGTAACCAATCTTGCCACCATATTAGTCTCTTCCTCCACCTGACACCTAGTGCCCCATATCTGTGGGTACTGGTGGGGACACCATTGATGTCCTCTGTACAGCTGCTGGTCTCCCCTACCACCCTAACCACTTCTCCATTGTCCAGTGTTCTTGGGGACTAGTGGGCATGCTGCCAAAGCACATTTGCACTTTATCCTCTGGCCTGTTTGCTGTCCTGCTATGAGTGATCACCTACTTTATGTTTTATAAAGTATCAAAAAATAAACAGGAGGACAATAAAATATATCAAGTATGCAGGAATTTTATTTTGTTGACTTTATTGTTGCCCCATTAGAAAAATAGTATTCACTAATACTTGAAGATAGCCTTATTATGGCACTTCTGATGGTGTTTATTACAGCTGAATTTAATGGTAGGAAGATAATATCAAAATTTCAATTTTTAACTCTTCTGCTAAACTCATTTGGGTTAGGTAGTTTCCAATCTTAGCAGATAGAGAAAAAATTTAGAAGTAGATATGTAAAGAAAAGTTTAATCACTCACTGTTTTTTAAAAATTGTTGAGACTAGGATGGCTGTCTGGCTCAGTTGGTGGAGCATATGACTCTCCATCTCGGGGTCATGAGTTCAAGGGCCATGTTGAGCTTAGGGCTTACCTAGATAGGTAGGTAGGTAGGTAGATAAAATTTAAAAATTGAGGGTGAATTGTTTTGATTTATGTTTCAGTTTGATCAAATATTTAAATAAGACCTTTGGGGGTTAGTCCCCACAACAATCTTTGCTCAGACCATTAATATCTTGTCTACTAGGCAATGATAACTTGGCCTATTTGCAAATGGAGCAGGATCTGCATGTGGATTTATATATATGTGTAAGATAGATCTTTCCACTTTTATGCTCACTTCTTCGAGCAAATCTAAAGAACACTTCATTGTTCATGTATTGTAAGATTGATTCTTCCTCCAAACTAGAACTACCATTTAATTTTAATAATCAGTAATTACAATTAAAGATGCTTCCCATGTGCTATCTATTAAATACTTTACAATATACTATTCTTATAATAACTTCACAGGTTATGTATTATTACCTGTATGTTACAGATGAGGAAAATATATTAGCAGATTGCTTTTCTGTTCCTTAACCTTTTTAATTAATCTGTGCTGCCTCAAACTTGTTTTTTTCTCAAGTTTATAATTTATTTCAATATTGACTATTTAATTTGCTTTGTAGAGATCGAAAATTGTGCAATTTGGGATTAAAAGGCTACTATGTCAAAGGCAGTGGCGACAATGCAGGTAATACAGTGTAAAACATTATGGCCCTTTTCTTGCTCAAAGTAACTAATAGTGTATTGATTTTAAATATAATTTGTTATACTACATTAACTTGTTGGCATTAAATATTATAAATGACAACCAGTAATCATAGGTTACTTTCCTTATTTTTTATTATAACGTGGTTCTAGAATCCCTGTCAAAGCACATCTTTTCTTTTTCTGTAGCTAGCTCCTGTGTGGACTTGAGGTAGCCTCTTTTGCTCTATGTAGTGTTCCTTCCTGAGTTGTTGCCATTAGATAAGAGCAAGATGAAATTTGAAGCTTTGAAAAGTAGAGAACATAGGGTTTTTTCAGCAAAATTTTATTGTGTGGGAAGATAAACAGAGGCACATTAAAATTTTCAGGAGTTTATTTGAACTTATATCTATGCAACTCAGGCAGTTGCCAGCTCCCTAGATAGGAGCACCACTACAGGACAGGAGTTAGGGGAGAGTTTTTTAATAGAGAAGATATAGAAGCAAAGCAGGGAAATTATTGATTGGCTCTATCTTAAGGAATGGCCTCATTTGGGGAAGCCTAGTTAGCTGTTTGTGATTAGTTGTTCTTCAGTGTTCTTTTCTTAGATTTGAGTGCTTTGATTGTGGCTTATGTGTTTGGTTTGCTTACATAGACAACGAAGGCCTTCAAGCCACTTCAGTCTAATGACCTCCTTGTTTAATACTTTAACAATTGTATAGATAAATTATTTAGGATAAATGCAAAGTGAACATCCTTAGTCTTCTGCTTGAAGTAAAGAGGCCACAATCTGGGTTAACTTTCACAAATAACAAATAGAATTTATTATGTATTTTGAGTCTCACCTAGTTAACCTGAAAACTATCTTGGTCTCTTTCCGACTTCCTCAGTGACCACATTTGTTCTTTCCGCACGGGTCTTTTTTGTTTCTCTAGATTGAAAGAAAACTAGCGTGAGTTCTAGGCTAAATTCAACACAAATGAAGTGCATCATGTTACCCTTAAAAATCCTTTAACTCTCACAGTGGTGGAACAAATCACTGTTTCTTCAGTTGATCACTGAATGAAGTGTTTGGTTTACATTTCAATGTAATGTACAAATAAGGTTTCTTTAGATACCAGGCTCCTACTGAACATAAAATATGCATACCATGAAAGGATCATAAAACTTAGCACATTTGTTTTTACTATTTGCTGTCTCCTGAACTTTCATAAGTTCATTGAATAGAATGGTGAGTGGAATCCTCTTTAGGTAGGTATCTTTTTTCCCTCTTTGTTTTAGTAGAATTTATACACAGAAAATTCCTCTTATTTACAATCTCCATTTTTGGTTTGTAAGATTCACTCTTTTATTGTCTATGATCATTTAGCTGGAGTGTGCAGCTCAGCCCTAATTGAGTATGTCAGTGTATAAAGTGATACTTCTCTCACATTTTAAATGGTTAATGGAGCTTTTGAATGGCATTTGTCCAATTAATGGTGTGGTAAACTTTTATGTAACCATACTAGTATAAAGCTAAACTTGTTTTGTTATAATAAAACAGGTTTTCTGGGAGAATCAGGGCATTTGAAAGGAACTTCCAGTTTAGGGGATTTCAGACTTTTATAGCTTTCATTAAGTCATTACTCTCACAGAGTCACAGAATATAAATCCCAGTTGTGATTGAAAAAACCATGAGGCACCTAAAGACATAACCTTTCACCACTCTTCTTACTACATCCTAAAGTAAACTCCACAAATCATCATTTTAAATTCACTGATCTAATTGAGGAATATTGCTCATTGATAATGATATTCCTCATTAAGTATGATATATCCTTATTGATTATGATATATCCAATAATAATATTTCTTATTGAGTAATAAGGAATGTGAAAATGTGTTTTCCCTGTGGTTATTCTGCCACATTCCCTCTTATATCCTCAGTACTTTGCACAGTACACAGCACAGAGGAGATGCTCAGTAAGTATATAAGTTGATTAGGCAGCTGGTGGTGGGCAGAGCCATGTTAGAAGTTGTCTCCTGATTCTTAATTGGCTAGTCTGTGTTACCCCTAAAAAATCTTAACCTTTGCATAACTCTTGGTCTCAGGTTTCTCTTTAAAATGAGGATGAGGGACCCCTGAGTGACTCTTAGCTGAATGTCCAGCTCTTGATTTTGGCTAGAGTCATGATCTCAGGGTCCTGGGATCAACCCCCATATTGGGCTCCCTACTCAGAGGGGAGTCTGCCTGCCGGTCCTCTTCCTCTGCCCCTCCCCCTGCTTGTGTGGTCTTGTCCGTGGGCTTGTGCATGTTTGTTCGTGTTCTCTTTGTCTCAAATAAATAAATTTTTAAAAAATAAAATGATGAAAAAAACGTGCATCTGCATTTCCTATAAAATGAAGCTAACAGATGCTGTCTGTAGGAGACCAAGCTACAGAAGAGGAAGAAGGGGAGGAAGGTGGCACTGCAGAGTCACATGACAGTAAAGGCTTAGGCCTTGATGAAAGTGAACTTGATTCTGAGGCTGAACTCATGAGAAGTATGGGACTACCACTTCAGTTTGGTGGGATATCTGCACATAAGAATTTTGAGGTAAGTTACTTATGTTTCTCTTTCTTAGTTTTCTCTGTAAGATATCACAAAGAATTTTTTTATCCCAAATCTAACATATTCATAAATTAGAGCATTCTACCTCTTTTTAAACATACATATTTATAAATTAATTAAAACTGCAAGTTTTGATATATGTCCTTTTTTCCTCCTCCTGGAAACATAAATAGTAAGATTAACTTGTTTGTATAACTAAAAACCCAGGATGGGGATTTGACAGTAAATTATTTAATTTAATGTTTAAAATAGACTTGGATTCTCTTTATTTTATAGTTTATTTGTGAGCTGCATTTTATATTCAACTTATTTATCTTATGTAGGTTTCTATGAATACTAGAAATAAAGTTAAAATAAAAAGGAAAAAGAAAAAACATCAAAAGAAGTACTTAGATGAAATTATAAGAGAATCTTGGAGACAAGAATATGAAGATGGCATTTTGGCTTCAGATGATCCATCTTCAGTTGAACAGTATGAGAGCACCAAAACATGTAAACGTCAAACCAAAAAAGATACTGAAACTGAAAATCTTCCTGTTGAAAATACATTAACTCCAAAGCTAGAAATCACAGAAAAATGGGAAAAATATTGGAATGAATATGGTGGAGGAATATTATGGCAAAGCTGGCAAGAAAAACATTCAGATCAGACACTATGTTCTGAACCTTGGAACATTCCTGATACAAAGGAGGAATGGGAACAACATTATAGTCAACTTTATTGGTATTATTTGGAACAATTTCAGTATTGGGAAGCTCAGGGTTGGACTTTTGATACCTCACAAACCTGTGAAACAGATACTTGTGGGTCTAAAATAGAAGTTGACAATGAGAAAGAAGAAAATTGCATGAAAGCAGACTTAATGTCTTTTCCATCTCCATCTGTTACAATTGATAGTGAAAGCTCTAGTTCAAGTGATAAAGAGCATATTGAAATTCTTGGTGGAATTAATAATATAAGTTTGAATTCAGAGGAAGTGGAACAAAGCCAGTTAGATTCTTCAGTAAGTTGTGATGGACATCAGTGGCTAAGTGAAGTCAGCAGCAGCAGAGAATGTCCTGCTTCTGGCCAGAGTGAACCATGTAATGGAGGAACCAAGGATAGCAGCTTGTCTGGGAACAGAAGCACAAACCAACCAGCTCAGGGTAAGATTGGCCAAGATTTATCCTGCTAAGTAACAGTTAGGAAAATTAACCTACTGAGCAAAATAATTAACACCTATCTTTTATGTTAGGGTTACACAATGTCAACTACATTTTATAATGTCACATAATTTAATTCATGTATCATAAGTCTTACCTTTCATGTAAATAAAAAGAATATTTGTTTGGAGTTCTCAAAACTATCATTCCTTCCACTTGGACCTTGGTGGCCAGTGAATTAAAACTTAGAATTCCCTTGAGAAATTTTTTAATAGAGTGGATGGGGAACTTCCAGGTTTCTGTGGAGCAAATGCATTTATAGGGGGCCTATTAGAGAATAGTTCAGAATACACAGTGGACATCAGGCAAATCTGATTGTAAGTCATACTGGAATTTATTTCTGAGCAATTGAAGTCTCTTGTTCTGTAGGGAATCTCAACAGGGCATGATACTAATTTATAATTGGAAGGGTTGACTTCAGGATTCTCATAAAATATCCAGGATTAGGAACTTGGTTGACTCCAGCCTAAGTGATTTGAAACAAAACAAAACAAAATCTGGTCTAAAGAAAGGACTAAGGAAAGCCAGTGAGAGGTATATTAAGAAAAGTCAGAGGTTGGTAAGAATGCTCTTGCTCAGAAGGAGAATTCTAACTGATGGCACCAGGAAAATGAGAGAGAAAATTTTTATAACTTCTGAACTTCCGGAAGGTCAAGATGCCTTCTTGGCATCCTTGATGTTTAGTGCTAGAAAAGTCTGGTTTATAATATAAGACTTTCTTCTCAGTCTCATCCCTATATGAAGCAAAAGCCTTTGGCCTTTTATTTAACAGTTGGATTTGCTTTGCTCCTCAGATTGCTGGTCTCCGTCTAGCTGAGAGTTTCCTTTAGAGTTACTGAAGGGGCTCTACCTACCTTTTAATTTCTTTTTTCTCTGCTCTTCCAGTGCAAGTTACTTACTTTCATTCCTTGTTATTTTCATATTTTTTAGTAATGTGATTATTTTATATTAGCCTTTTGATACTCTTCTATACTTTCCTGATTTCTTTCTGTGCTAATTTTGACCATAAAATTTGAAATATGTATACTGGCCAATGTATTTTCCCCTCTCTTATTCCTTCAAGTTATTCCTTTGATCATCCTCACTTATCTTCCTATTTTTCTCTTTGTCAAATATACTAAGCCTTATAGTCTTCCGTTGCCTTTTTCCTAACTATATATATAGATTATCCATTTCTTTACTTAGTCCCAGGGTGAGTCCCATCAGAATAAATCTGAGAATTCTAGGTTTTAATTTGTTTTAGATCTTGCCTTGAGATCAAAACACAAGGTATAGGGGCACCTAAGTGGCTCAGTTGGTTAAGTGTCTGTCTTCAGCTCAGGTCATGATCCCAGGGTGCTGGGATCAAGCCCCACATTGGGCTCCCTGCTCAACAGGGAGTCTCCTTCTTCCTCTTCTTCTGCTCTTTCCCCACTCATGCTCTCTCTTGCTCCCAAAGAAATAAGTAAAATCTTTAAAAAACACATACAAGGTATATATTGTGTTTCTATATAAGTATGTTTTCTGTTGTTTGTGGTTGGGTGTTCTCTTAAAATAATCTGTGCCTACACAATCAAAGACTCTCTTTGTCTACACTGCAGATCTCCATTTCCAGTCCCACCCACTCACTTTGTGCCAATCTGAAGAAAGACATGTCCCTCAGGTGGAGCTACCACAAGTTAAAAATATTTTTTCTAAATGGTGGTGCTTACCTCGCTGTTACTTTTAATTTAAGTTACATTAGAGATAATTAACTGTGTTTGCTTCTTAATAAACAGAAGTCATTTTATTTTAAAGATCTCAGGTGGAGCTACCACAAGTTAAAAATATTTTTTCTAAATGGTGGTGCTTACCTCACTGTTACTTTTAATTTAAGTTACATTAGAGATAATTAACTGTGTTTGCTTCTTAATAAACAGAAGTCATTTTATTTTAAAGATTTTATTTATCTATTTGACAGAGATCACAAGTAGGCAGAGAGGCAGGCAGAGAAAGAGAGGAGGAAGCAGGCTCCCTGCTGAGCAGAGAGCCCCATACGGGGCTCGATCCCAGGACCCTGGGACCACCACCTGATCCGAAGGCAGAGGCCTCAACCCACTGAGCCACCCAGGTGCCCCCTAGAAGTCATTTTTAATCAATGTATTATGCTGTCTTCAGAGTGATTGAAGTTAAAATTCCATCAAAATATAGGGAACCTTAGTGGCTCACTCAGTTAAGGATTTGACTCTTGATTTCTATTCGGGTCATGAGATCAAGCCCCAAATCAGGCTCTATGCTCAGCAGAGTGTGCTTGAGATTCTCTCTCTCCCTCTAAAATTAATTAATTAAAGTTCTATCAAAATGTGATAACTGCTTAGCTATCACAAAGGTAACTATGGATTACTTTGTGAAGATTTGGACAGCTATGAGGAAAAAGTAGTTTTAGTTTGTTTTTTTAAGTAGTTAAATCATGGAAACTTTTAAACTTTAATAATTACACATAGCTATAGTTTTTTTATGCTCAGATTCTGGGTGTAGGTATACAAAATAAGTAGATTGGTCTGGCACTGTGCCTGATATGCATGTACAGTTCATTGCAGGAAGGTAGCAAAAATATTTCGATAGCATTTGCAAAAGGCAGAAGAGTTGTCACACTAAGGGGAAAATCCACTGCAATATGTCTGCCTCTTTAGATTCACAGGACTCTTCAGAAGCAAACACAATCAAAGAAAGACCACATCCCAACGATATTGATGGAGATGAGAGTGAAGAAGATCCACCTGAACGTAAGCCAAGCAAACTCAAGAGGAGGCAAGTTGCATATTACCTCTCTCTCCACAGTGTGGTAGCATAAGCACTTGTGTCCTTGAGGGAGTTCCTACAAAGGGCTTGTTATATTGTAGTACTGTCAATCCTGTGAGAAAATAAGATGAGATATACTAGCAAGATGCTACACCCTGGAACACTTGGCAAATCCCAAGTCTGACTCTGCCACGGTTTCTTGCTTCTAAAGTGGAACAAATGCTTTTTTTATGAGCTTGTTGGGAAGACAAAAAACTAGCGTGTAATAAATCTGACAGTAGCTATCCATGGATGACAGCTTTTAATTCGTATATAAGTTGATAAGGTTTCTCTCAAGGAAGTTCTGTTTGTTTTTTTCCCCAAATGTCTGAGTATATCTAGCAATTTTATTGCTAAAATAGACCTCAGAAATATGTAATCTAATGCTCTTAATCTATAGGTGGGAATATTAAAACAAAATGAGGATAAATGCCTTTCCCAGAGTTACATAGCAAAACAATGGCAGCTCTAAGTCTAACACTCAGACCAAATCTTCAGGAAGCAGTGCTAGTATACTATTGATATGTAAAATTAAACAAGTAGCAAATAATATAAGTAGAATATGGTCAAATGCTAATTCCATAAAATACAAGGAAAGGGTAGACATTGCAAAACTTAGACGTTAGCTAATAGCATTTTAATTCTTTGACAGGATATGAAGTGTTCCATCTTCTGAAAAAACAGTATGCAAGCTTTGGAGGCTCAGTAACTTAGTATATACATAAAAGCATGCTTCCGTTGTATTCTTTCTACATGCTATACAATGCTCCATAATTCCTCCTTTAGTTCCTGGAGGCAGAGACTATGTGTGGCATACTTACATTTCTGGAACCTAGTAGGTTCACCATAAATGTTCAATGACTAACTTAATTTGTAAGAATTATTTCTCACCATTTTTTCTTACTTGGTACTGTCATTAGGTACTAGGGATCACTAGAAGGCATCCCCAATAAATTGATGATCCTGGGTTACTTATTATTTATATCACTACCTTATTCTTCTTAATATATATACAGAGAGAGAGAGTAAATTTTTTGGTTGCATTGATACTTACCAAATGTTTCCATCTTTGTTTTTAAGGAAAACTAAAAGTAGCACTCTAGGAGATTAGTTTAAGGCTGCAGCTTTTACAGGTGTCTTTCCAAAGGCAGATGGAGAGATCAGTATTAGTGCCATGTTCAAGTATAAAGTTAATTAGGATTTGAGTACTTATTGCTGTGTTCCAAACACTGCTGGGTAGTTTATCACATTTGGAAAATGTGATTAAACTGCTCTTTCCTGTCTTCCTGGATTTGTGAGCTGGTGGTTGATTGTTGCAATAGGAAAGTGTGTGTGTAGGTTGATTATTGTATCTTTTGATATTTGCCTGAACTGGTGGGCTCTGGATGTAATGGCTTATTGCTGTTTACCTTTTGTTTATTTGTTTAGCCACGAACTGGACATTGATGAAAACCCAGATACAGACTTTGATGACAGTGGTTCCCTTCTAGGATTCAAGCATGGCTCAGGACAAAAGTAATTATACATAAATATTATATAAACACTGTGTCTTCTTGAAGTTGTAACACTTCAGCTCTCTTCAAGTTCTCTGATATTCAAATAGCTTATGATGGTTGTAGATTTGATAGAATTTGAGATATTACAGTTAAAACACTAACTTCTTGTAGATTACTACATGTTTGATATATTGACATGTGTTATTAACTCAGTTGTACTGCAAAGCAACCTAATATTAGAGTTTCATGGGTAAAGCAGCTGCAGCCCACAGAGGTGTGACTTGGTCAGGATCACATTAAGGATTTAGGCCAAGCTCTTGAGACTTCTAAGCATGGTTCCCTTTTTCACCTTGCATCTCACATGTCTGCCTTTGTGTACATTTGAGATCTATAGCAAGCATGTCATGAAAAGTTTGAGTCTCCAGTAGCCTTTTTTCTTTTTTATAATGAAAACATTAAAACTCAAAACAGAAGTAACAAAGAGTAAAAATCTTTCAAATCATTCCTCAGAGGTAGGCAGTATTTGGCATATATCCTTCCTAATTTAATCATGTGTGTTTTTATGCTTATGTACATATAAACAGGCTACTCTTTTTTTATAAAACACAAAAGTAGAATCATAGTATACATGTTCTGCAGTTTGCTTTTTTCCCCTCAACAATGTACCATGAACATCCTGACTTATCAGTATATGCACATTTATCTAGTACTTGTGTGTTTAACTGACCACCCTGTATGTCCTTCTAGGTTGTTCCTAAGATCTAGGCATATGCCCTTGAGGTTCCCCACAAGTTAATGTGTTTACCAATAGTTCATTCCTACTTACTGCTGAATAGTATTCACTGTATGGATATATCAATTTTAATTATTCATCTGTGCAAGGATATTTGGATTGTGTGTGGTATTTTGCTATTACAAATAAAGCTGCTATGAACATTTGTATACAGAAAGTATAAGTTTTCTCTGGGATTAAATGCCCAAGCATTTATATCTAAGATTTATAAGAAATCTGAAACCGAAGAAAATGAAAGAAAACTGAATTATATATAAGAAAACTGAGGGGTCTGTGGTATATACCTTGAAGACTGAACTGAGTAGTTAAGGCACACTAAAGACATTTATGTCAGCTTGCACCAGTGATTTAAACCAAGATTAAGGTCTTTGATGTTTCTAAGGGGTGAGATTTATTTTCTTAGTTGTGAAATTTAACTGATACCTACATATTACGAAGTCAGAAAGAAGAGGACATAGATCTCAAAATTGACTTATAAAATGAATCCAAATTAGCTCAGAAATATATGCTCATAATTATAATACTATGAATATATTTAAACTATCTGTTATCTCTCCTTATGGTACTTGAAGGCAGTTGTAGCTCATAGCATTCAAAGCTAAAGATCATAAAGATTAGTAATATAAAATATTTTCCTGATATTGCCATGTTTAAGATTCTGGCAGAATTCATTTCTACCCACATATAATTTTATTGAGAAATTATTTGGGTGGCTCTTGCTAGTATACATTTGTGGAGAGTTATTCTGTTACCTGGAATTTAACTTTTCTTCTATTTAAGATTCCTGGTTCTACTTAAAAGGATAAAATTGGGGCACCTGGGTGGCAAAGTTGATTGAACATCCAACTCTTGGTTTCCGCTCAAGTTGTGATCTCAGGGTCGTGGAGCAGGGCCCGCTAAAGTTTCTCCCTCTCCCTCTGAAAAAGAAAAGCATAAAATAGACTTTATAAAGAAGTTTATGATATGGCTAGACGATAACACCTGACATTTAACACTAAACTGTTGAGTTCATAAATGCTAATTGTATATTACACTTTAAATTTCTAATAGTCTGTGGCACTGTGGAAGATGTACTTAAACGAGGCTTGATATACAGTCAAAGAAGTCTTTGTACTCGTTCTGTATGATTTAGGACTAAAAAAATTCAGATGGTTGTTAGATCAACTGATATTCTCTAAATATTTTGATAATAGGGATTTGCTTTTTTGGTAAGCTCAGATCAATTTAAGTTAAAAAAATCAGTGGCCACTTTTAAAATAATTTGTATAGGGATGCCTAGGTGGCTCAGTCGGTTAAGCATCTACCTTTGGCTCAGATAATGATCCCAGGGTCCTGGGATCAAGCCCTATATCAGGCTCCTTGCTCAGCGTCTCCTCCCTCTGCCTGCTGCTCCCCCTGCTTATGCTCGCTCTCTTTCTCTCTCACAAATAAATAAAATCTTCAAAATAAATTAAAATAATTCATGTCAACAACAGCCAAATTATGGAGAGAGCGCAAATGTCCATCAAATGATGAATGAGTAAAGAAGATGTGGTACATATATACAATCGGGTATTACTCAGCCATCCACAAGAATGAAATCTTGCCATTTGCAATGACATGAATGGAGCTAAGAGTATGTTATGCTAAGCAAAATAAGTCAATTCAGAAAAACAAATACCATATGACTTGACTTATGGAATTTAAGAAACAAAACAGATGAACATAGGGGAAGGTGGAGGAAAAAAAAGAAACCATAAGAGACTCATAATGACAGAGAACAAACTTGAGAGTTGATGGAGAAAGGTGGGTGGGGAATGGACTAGATGGATGACAGGAATTAAAGAGGGCACCTGGGATAAGCACTGGGGGTTGTATGTAAGTGATGAATCACTGAATTCTCCTGAAACCAATATTGCACTGTATGTTAACTAACTAGAATTTAAATAAAAATTTAAAAGATATGAATAGTTCTGATGTACCCAAATATGTATTAAAGTGCTTTGGTATCCTCTCACCATGAGAAAAGATTATATTTCCCTAACGTGCAATGGGGTTATATTTTTCTAATATTTCCTTTTTATATTTTACTATGTAATATCTGCTTTCTGTTATATGTAAGGTATGTTGATATCCCCAACTGGTGTTTCACATTTACTTGGAAGTTAACATATAACCAAGACCCTAAATTCCTCTACATTTGAACTTTATTTCATAATCTTTATAATTTAGAAAAATAAGATGGTGGCTAGTAGAAAATAAAATTAAAATTAAATGGTGGTAGTAAAAAAGTAGTGAAAATTGTCAGTTTTATTCTCTTTTCATATAAGAAAACAAACTCAGAACTTAAGGTTTGAGTCAGCTTCCTTTGGTTTGGTCACAGATATGGTGGAATTTCAAACTTCAGTCATCGGCGGGTCAGATACCTACAGAAGAATGTGAAGTATAAGTCAAAGTTCCTGGACATGAGAAGACAAATAAATATGAAAAACAAACACATTTTCTTTACTGAAGAGTCAGAAAAAGCATTCAAAAAAAGCAAAACTTTGACTAAGGTACATATAAATTTTGTTCTTTATTTACAGATAAAATTTCATTTTGTGAGCTTGACTCTTTAAAATTTTTTTCAGGTGGAAATCTTGTTTCTATCAGATATAAAGGTACCTGAAATTCTCTTCCCCTTCCTTCCCAAAGGCATATATCATGTGAACCAAATTTGAAATAGAATAAGTTGGGAGTAATATGAAAAAGGGATGTTTTGAAAGCTAGTATCATTGGAAAGATAAATAGATAAAATTGCTTCATATATATAGTAACAGTGAGAATTTCTTATCTGCCTCAGGCTAAGTAGGATCCTGGAAATCAGTATCTGGTCCTGCATTTATTATAAGCTTTAATTTTGAACTCATCTGGACGTGATCAGTCAAACATTGCACTAACCAGTAATCCTAATAGTTTCTTGCTAATTTAGTGGTTTACATTGCTAACTGGAATATTCACATCCCCTTTCTTTCACTCTGCTATACCTGCTGTCCAAGCACCTGAAAAACAAAGATAATAAGAATTATTTTTGCTTGGTTTGATGAGTGATGCTTATCCATTATGTGGGGGGAGGGGACAACCTTCCAGTGAGCAAAACCTTTGTGTCGGTTACCTCTCCAGCAGCTCCTTCAGGCAACAAAAAATCTCAGACCCTGCAATGACTTTGTTTTACCCTTAGGATACATTATCCTTCCCAACTTAAGCATTCTTCCAAAACATGCTACAGATTTATAACTGGCTTTATTTTTGTTATATTTCAGATTGGTTGCTGGTGATGTTTTAATATTTTTGTGGCCCTGGTTATATCTGGAACACATTCCCCAGTATCAGCAGTCAGCCTTACAGAATTTTTTACATGTTGGATGTGATAGTCCCCATACATCCAGCTATAGACAAAGAGCAAAAACATAACTGCTAAGTATTGCCAAGAAGAAAAGAAATATGACTTTTGTGTCCTTAGATATCTGACTGCTCTATAGACACAGTCCCTTTAAAGACTGTGGGTTGTTATCTATGCTCATCGTCCAATTTCCTAACTCATAGGAAAGTCACCAGGATCTATTGCGAAGAATGTTCTTGTTACAGAAGTGTGCAAGGACGTACATATCCTCTGTTAACACCTTGTTAACATTTCTAAGAAACCCAGTTTTTAGGAATCATTTTACTGGCTTTACTGCTCCATTAAAGGACAGCTTGCATTCTAAGATAGCACTCCTCTTTTCCTTACAGATAGATGGACACTAGATCTTTTTAGTTTATCTTTGGTGCTGAGTACAATTTAACATAACCTGAGCCCTTGAAGAAAGGTCTGTATAATTTGAAAAGCTAATAATAATGACTCAACAATAAGTAGGTACATTTGTAATGGTAATACCACATAGTGTGGTTGTATTGTTAGAAGCCTTTTATGCAAAGCTACTAGAACAGTTCAGCTTTATCTTCTTAGTGTTAATTGATTACAGGAAGGTCATTGTCATGTGTTTAATCTGATATTTTCTTCCTTTTAAAGAAATCTTTAATAAGGTCATGGTATGTCCAGTTACAAAAGTATAGTTAGCTCAGAATTAATTATATATATAAAGGGGCACCTGGGTGGCTCAGTGAGTTAAAGCCTCTGCCTTCACCTCGGGTCATGATCCCAGAGTCCTGGGATCAAGCCCCATTTCGGGCTCTCTGCTCGGCGGGAAGCCTGCTTCCTCCTCTCTCTCTGCCTGCCTCTCTGCCTACTTGTGATCTCTCTCTCTGTCAAATAAATAAATAAATAAAAATCTTAAAAAAAAATTACTTATATATAATTAGCTTGTATGATACAGTATACTTATTAGAGCTAATAATTACAGCAGCTTCAGTGAAGTCCAAATGGTAAAACAGATGGGAATATTCTGTGTAATTTGGAATTCATTCATGCTTGTAATGACTTAAAATTTCAGGTAGAAAAATTCCTAAAATGGATTAATGAGCCAATGGATGAGGAAGCATCACAGGAATCAGTTTCTCATGACAATGTGCAAGACACCTGCACAAGCAGTGATTCAGAGGAACAAGAAATGCCTGTTAAAAAAGGTGATGACCCACTGGAGACAAGTAATCCAGAGCCTGAAAAGTGTCATGCCATGTCTTCAGCTGGTGAACTTGAAGCAGAAAAAAATGAAGGAGACAGCACAGTAGTAGCTATTACAGATAAGGAAGATGGTGTTACTCAGGTTACCCCAGATTCTCTTCAGGTAGAAACTGAAGGTAAGATTAAGAATGCCTTCAGCTTGCTGATGAATTTAGGTAATATGCTTCCCTAGTTTTCACTACCTAAGTACCTAAGGATTCAGTACTATTTATTTTTAATTGGAGAGAAGGCACAGCAAGTGTAAATGCCAGTGGCAATGATTTGGCACCAGAACACTACATTCTTGGCTGTGCAAGCATGAGAAAAGAAAAGGCCAAGCACATGGGAAAACTGAGTCCCTCTGTCTGTGCCATTAAGATTGGTCTCTGCCACTACCCTCTTCCCTAGGCTAAAAGTGACTGGCTTAAAATTTGGTATTGCCCTGGTTTTCCTTTTGATAATTCTTTGGGGGGGCATTGCTTTTGTGCTAATGGTTGTTGGTAGTGGTAGTTTGTTGTTTGGATGGTACACTGACATAAGGTATTTTAGTAGTTGGCTATAATGAATGCAGAATGGAGTCACATTTTTCAGTTTATGACCTTCTGTACTATTTGAATGTATTCTACAGTAAATGTTCTTTTATAATTTATAATTGTATTCAGTGGAACATTGAGGCTTTTATCAGATAGAAATTTTCATTTGACATGTATTCATTTTTATTGATGAATGATTTCAGACTTTCCCTAATGAAACAATTATATTGTGATGGTCTCTTAATTTAGAATTGTGGAAAATACCTCATTTGAATCTTAATTTTTTTCGTGTGTGTGTGTGTGTAAAGTTATATTCTTTGTATCCCATACTTCTTTGCCTTTCTAAAATGTATACTTAAAGTAGTTTAAATTTTTTTATTGTCATGTACAACTGATGTTATATGGTACTTGTAGATTTCCAAAATGCCTTTATGTACCTCATTTTTATTTAATCTATAAAATAACCCCGTGAAGTTGGCAGGATTATCCTCATTCTAAAAATACAGAAAGTTAAGCTCAGAGAAACTAAAATTTGCCTGAGATCACAGAACCAGTTGGCAGCATAGAAGGACTCAGTATGAGGTTGTCTGATTCCTCAATCCCATTTTCCGGCCCTCCCCTGCTTCCCTAATTACCTTGCCTCATATTGCTGGTAGTTCTTACCTGGGGTGATACCACCACCTCAGGGGCATTTGGAAGATGTTGGCTATTAAAATGACCTGGGGATACTGACATTTAGTACTTTGGGTTGCTTAATGTTACGTCATGTACAGGATGGTCTTGCACAGTAATTATTCACTCAAAATGTTAGTGTCCCCTCTCCTAAAACACTCTTACTACACTTTGCTGTTGATAACACCTTGTGTGTTAACAGTGATCAGATGACCATATTAAGACATAGTCCTATCCTTAAGGATCATTTAAATGTAGTTATTTTATTTGTCAACATCAATTCTTGTCATTATACTTAGCTGTGACAGCATTCTTTCTAAGTTGCTGTTTCTAATCTCAGAACTTAAACCAAATAACCAAATTAATAAAAATTGTTTAAGCTAAAGTCAATCTCGGAATGAATGAGATCCCTTTCTATTAACATTAAAGCAGTGACTTATTTAACTTCCCAGAGGCCACACAACCCTTCAGGTCATGTCTGGATTCAGAGGATTGACCAAGTTGGAAGTTAGGGGCTGCTTAATCAGTCCTTGGGAGATTTTGTTTTATTTTTTTTTTAAGATTTTATTTATTTATTTGACAGACAGAGATCACAAGTAGGCAGAGAGGCAGGCAGAGAGAGAGGAGGAAGCAGGCTCCCCGCTGAGCAGACAGCCCGATGCGGGGCTCCATCCCAGGACCCTGGGAACGTGACCTGAGCCGAAGGCAGAGGCTTTAACCCACTGAGCCACCTAGGCACCCCTCTCTTCCCTTCTTTAAAACAAAATCTCTGGGGCGCTTGGGTGGCTCAGTGGGTTAAAGCCTCTGCCTTCGGCTCAGGTCACGTTCCCAGGGTCCTGGGATGGAGCCCACATCGGGTTCTCTGCTCAGCAGGGAGCCTGCTTCCTCCCCTCTCTCTCTCTGCCTGCCTCTCTGCCTACTTGTGATCTCTGTCTGTCAAATAAATAAATAAAATATTAAAAAAAAAAAAGGAAGAGAAATGTTTGGATTTCTATAATTGACCAATTAAAGCCGTGTCTTCTCTAACAGAAATAATAACTTTTATACCTATATAGTATCTCTACATATGCCCTAACAATCCTGTGAAGTAAGTAGGTAAAATACTATTCATTCATTCCTTTCAAGGAATTAAAAATTGGATCTTAGAGAGCCTGGGTTACTGTTCCAAGCTCAGGGAGCTTATAAATAGCAAAATAGAGCTGTAATCTAAAGTCAGTGCTATTTGCAGTATGCCCTCCCGCTTCTTCTGGGGGGGCCGTTGCCTGCATAGTCTACAGTACATTCCCAAATTGTAATTACTGAACGTGGCTACACTTACTTCTTAGATAAATTCATCTATAATTGCCTTTTTTCATAGTGAACATCTGTATTTATATTATTTTATTTTAGTGGAAAGTAAAAAGAAGAAGAAGAAAAAGAAAAACAAGAACAAAAAGGTAATTGGTCTGCCTCCTGAGATAGCTGCTGTTCCTGAGCTGGCAAAATACTGGGCACAGAGATACAGGCTCTTCTCCCGTTTTGATGATGGGATTAAATTGGACAGAGGTAAAATATGTGTATAATGTTTAACACTATTTTGAAATAATCTCAGATTTACAGAAAAGTGGCAGGAATAGTAAAAAGTTGTTGATATGGGGCGCCTGGGTGGCTCAGTGGGTTAAAGCCTCTGCCTTCGGCTCGGGTCATGATCTCAGGGTCCTGGGATCGAGCCCCGCGTCGGGCTCTCTGCTCGGCGGGGAGCCTGCTTCCTCCCCTCTCTCTCTCTGCCTGCCTCTCTACTTGTGATCTCTCTCTCTCTCTATGTCAAATAAATAAAATCTTAAAAAAAAAAAAAAAAGTTGTTGATAATGCCCTTTACCCAGATTTGGCTATTTTTAACATTTGCTATTTAACATTTGCTTTACCATTCTGTGTGTGTTTCTGATCCAGTTGCTCCTACCCCTTAACACTGTGTGTGTGTGTGTGTGTGTGTGTGTGTGTGTGTATTTTCTGAGAATAAGGATACTTTATGTAACAATGATAAAATTACAAATTTAACATGGCTACAATTATTATCATCTGTAGTCCAGACTCTAATTTAATCTGTTATCCTGGTCATGTCTTTTATGTCTTGCCAGCATTTCCTTTCCTTTTATGGCAATTTTTTTTCCTTCCAGTATAGGATCATGTATTGCATTTAGTTTTCATGTTTCTTTAGTTTCCTTTCATCTGGAATAGTTCCTCGGTCTTTTTGTTTTTCATGACTTTGACATTTTTCCAAAGGAAAGTGACCCATTTATTTTCTATAGTCTCTCTCAATTTGGATATACATGTGTTTTTAAAACTTCACATTCAGGTTTAATCTATACTTAAACTATATTTTAGGATAAATAATAAAAGGAATCAATAGATTATTAAGCAGAACATCTGATGACAAAATACCTAGTTCAGAAAGATGCCACTTAATGAATTAACACTGGAACTAGAAAGAGTGTTCCTGCTATGTCTTGAACACCTTCCTTAATTCAATTCTACAAAGTGATGCTTAGTTTCATATTGGGGCTACTTAAACACTGGTCTTAATAACTCAAAATTAGGAGGCTTGATCTGGGGTTAGAATTTTGGGTTCTGTCAGCTTTTTATAGAAATTACTTGTTAATTGTAAATTAACAAAATGTTGTATATTGAAGAAACTGTATAGGAGTTTGGAGAAATAAGACTGGATAAAGGCTTTTTAATTCTATAAAGGGAGTTTATATGTTTATTCTTCCAGCAATGAGGAGCCATTTAAAGTTTTGGTAAGGAAAGGGAACAGAAAAACTGGTGTATCATTTTTGTTCAGAGAAATAGCTTTCCGAAAAACATGTTAATTCTATTAGGAAAGGAGGTCAGTTTGCTTCCCCATTAGAAATGAAATAATCAGGAAACTCAGTGGAGTTTGGGGAGTGAGCCAGTTGGATAGCTAACTTTCCATTTTCCATAATAGGTCAGTAGTTAATACTTCAAAAGAAAAACTAAAAATTGCATTCAATTATTAGAAGTATATTACAAAAGAATCAGGCAAGAATTGAGGCAGTTGCTTTGGTGGAAATTGGGAATGGGAATGGTACTGCTCCTTTGTATAACAAGCTTGGTGGAACATTTTAAAAACTAAGTAATTTATAATTTCTGGAAAAGGGAAACTAAGTTTTGCTTAAGTACATATAATATATATGTTATATATATAATGTGTGTGTGTGTGTCTGTGTTTGCTATGTTTATGCTTGGGTTGGCTTCTTGAAACTACACGTCTTAACAGAAATACTCTTCCCTTCACAGAGGGCTGGTTTTCAGTTACTCCTGAGAAGATTGCTGAACACATTGCTGGCCGGGTCAGCCAGTCTTTCAAGTGTGACATTGTAGTAGATGCATTTTGTGGAGTTGGAGGAAATACTATTCAGTTTGCGTTAACAGGAAAGAGAGGTAATTAGCCATCAAAGGAAGATCAGTAATTTCTTTTTAATTTATTCAGTAAATGTTTCATTTTGCTTTAACCTGTCTTTGCTGAGATTTATTATATAATTAGTAATTTAATGCCAAATATTTAAAATAATAATAGTTAGCATATAGTAAGCATACAGTTTGTATCTCATATTGGTATAAGTGCTTAATATGTATTTATTAGTCAGCGCTCTTATAAAGTGTATCTTTTACTGTCTGCATTTCACAGATAAACTGGGAAATAAAGAGATGAAATAACTTGCTCAGGATTACACAGACACAGCTTGGTGAAGCCAAGATTATAGTATTATAAAAAACTAAAAATATTAAAATGGGAAACCATTCTTTAGAAGATGAGTGGTTAGGGAGTTCCAGTTTTGCCACCTTTATGACTTTGGACATCGTTTAACAATTAAGAAAACCTCTGTAATACCTTTCAGTTTGTGCATTGTAAAATTAAAAAATTTTAAAGTATTAGGTCATTCTCCTGGTCATTTGACTTCAGAATCATGAAAAAGAAACCTTGTGTCACTATATATGTGCCAGGAACTATGTCAAGTAGGCTATATGTCTGCTATTTCCCAAGGCAAAAAAAAAAAAAAAAAACTTTGTAAAATTGGAAGGTCTGCCCAAATGGACATAGCTGAGTCATGAAGGTAGGATTTTTACTCTGTTTTTTCTCTGTTATCCCTGTTCTTTCTAAATTATTTTTAAAGTGTAGTATAATGTAACATTTTAAAGATAACCAGTTGTTCTCTGAAGATGCTTTTTCCCCCCAGCATCTTTGTATTATACATGTAGCTTCCGTTTCAGTGAATTAACATTTAAGTCTCTTAAAAATATTTAAAGTTTTTAATGTTAACTAGGAAAGTATGAGTCTGGAAGTATAATGTAAAAGCTAAAAACTGGTGAAGGAAAACTTAACATTGAAGACCCAGACCCATGCTGATGAACTGTGACCCTTATTAAATCATGCTCCAGGGCATGACAGTTCTCACCCTACATGGTCTTCTAATAGCCTGAATGAAAGTTGTCTTCACATTTACTGGAATAGGAGTTATTTTCTTGTTTTCCTTGAATTCATTATTTACTCTTAAAGTTCTCCTCTGCACTTTCCAGCTCTGTTAGATCAGTGTTTATTGCATAAAAATAATTTTTCCTCAAAAATTTTCAAATTTGTCTTCATTTTGACATTGTATCACAGCATGACAATTAAAATATCTGCCTTCTGGTAAAGCGGCAAACAGATATGGAAATTTTTTCAAAATATTATGGAAACTATCCGTATTGTAGATTTGTATTTCTATGAGTATAGGTCTCTTGCCAAAGCTTTCTGTAGCTTAGTACACATTTGGTAAAGAAAAATATCTGATGTGGGTCCCAAGCTAAAGGAAGGGTACTTCTCCTATGATTTCCCAGACCCAATTGTTGTCTAGGCATGTATTCAACTAAATGGTTAGAGAATCCACAAAGTTTTGCATTTTGATGTTAAAGATTTTTTTCCCTTTCTATATACTTCAGTATTACTGCTATCCAATAGAATTTTCTGTGATAATGGAAATGTTGTGTATCTGCACTGTCTAGTATCATAGCCACTAGCCACATGTGGCTGTTGGTCATTTGAAATGTGACAGTGTGGGGGTGTCTGGGTAGCTCAGTGGGTTAAGCAGCTGACTCTTGATTTCAGCTCAGGCCATGACCTCAGGGTCCTGGGGTGGAGCCCTGTGTCAGGCTCAGCACTCAGGGGAGAATTTCCTTGATAATTTTCTCTCCTTCTCCCCACTGCCCCTCCCCCAGTTTCCGAATGCATGCATGTATTCTCTCTCTCTCAAATAAATAAATAAATCTTAAAAGAATGTGGCAGTGTGACTGAGGATCTAAATTCTTTCTGTCATTTTAATCAGGTTAAAGGTAATAACCACGTATGGCTAGTGACTACCATTTCCTGGACAGTACAGTTCTGTATAATGTCATTCAACATTTGCCAGCATTTCCTTTACATGATAGAATGAGTGCTTCCATTCTGTTAGGCCTAAAACCAAAGCAGCCTCTAGGACAAATGTAGATGGAAACATGAGGATTGACTGAATGTATTTGATGTTGAAAATCATTTTTCCCATTGAGTTTTGGTGTTGTCAGCATATCTTCCCATCTGTCTCTATACTACAAATGGAACAGATTTAACAGCTGAAAAGAATATTTTCGTCTTTTCTCTTAGGAATGGTAGTTTATTTAGAACAGAAAATATAGCATTGTAAATGCATGATTTCAGCATGTAATTGGAGCTTATATTCATTGTTCAAGCGATTTATTTAGTGCATTACTTCCCAAAAGTGTTAACAAATTTTGAAACCGGCATTTTCTAGAAAACTATGTTTCCATGACAACCATGTTGTATGCATCAGGGTCCCACTTAGCCTTTCCAAATATGAAATATTGCCACCAGCACACTGGTGCACGTACAGGTGCACTTGAGTTATTGACTGCCAGATAGGAGTGAGCTAAAAATAATTTATGTTTGCATTGCTAATTATGAAATTGCAATAAATTTAAATGAAAGCCCATCCAATGAAAACAGTGTTGTCTGTTCCCTCCTCCTAAGATGTCTCATTAAACATTATCAGCAGATGTTTTTACGTTTCTTCTTCATAAACTAGCTCTATGGGTTTGTCAAAATGTGTTTTAATTTGCTTTTCTGTAGAAGTTTTCAAATTTGTCCTTCTTTGGAAGCTTTGTTTCATTTTAGGAAATTAGTCATTTCTGAAATCCTAGTGTTAGAGGCTTGACATGCAGTCAGTGATCTTTCCAAGTGTGTGCTGCTCAGGCTGTTCAGAGCACAGTGCGAAGCACGTGTTTACCTCTCAGAAGATACGGTGTGGCAGCTATCACTACTTGCTTTAGAAAACCTGACTGAGTGACAACTTTGAAAGCCAGGTCCTTCGGTCAAATTTTCTTAGTGCTACACAAGTGAATCCTTCTAACTTAGATTAAAATTTTTAATTAAGTTCTTTATCTCTGATACATGTGCCAGATTCTCTTAGTCTTTAAAAAAAGTTCTTAGTTCTTATACTGAGAAAAAATCAGACTGCTCAGAAGATGAACTTTTCTATAGATCAGTGTCATTTGACTCTTCTTTTCCCACTTTTAGTGATTGCCATTGATATTGATCCTGTGAAGATTGATCTTGCTCGCAATAATGCAGAAGTTTATGGAATAGCAGACAAGATAGAGTTCATCTGTGGAGATTTCCTCTTGCTGGCTTCACATTTAAAGGCTGATGTTGTGTTTCTTAGCCCTCCTTGGGGAGGACCAGATTACGCTACTGCGGAGACCTTTGACATTAGGACCATGATGTCTCCTGATGGATATCCTTTGGAAGGCTGAGCGTTTACTCAGACAGTGGTTGTGGAGAGAAAGGTGTGCATATGAGTGAGTGTGTGTATGTGTGTTTCAGAAAGAGACATGAGTGAAGTGGGGAAATACTAATGGCACTTGATAGATTCCAGTTTATTTTGCATAAAAAGCCAGTATGTAAAAATTAAGTGGTGGTTTACTTCCAAGAGGAATGGCCAATGTGAAGACATATTTCCTTAGGGCACTATCCAGTTTTTTCATTATAAAACAACTGGAAAATACTAATTGCTTGAAATTATTGTCTTGGAAATTGGGACTTTCCTCAAGACCTGTCCCTAGACTCTGGGTAACCATCTCTTAACTTTTCTTCAACTTACATTGGCTTGTGCTTATTCTCTTTGCATCTTCAAATGTTCCCTGTCAGTCTTCCAAGATACTGAAGGGAACCCTCTCATAAAAAATAACATTTATTTGTCCTTTTCTTTATCTCTCCTACCCAAAGGAATCACCCTAACAGGAAGCATGTTTCTAAAATGCTATTTAAAATTTAGAATGTAAGCCACAATGACCAGATTTACTTGTCTTTATTCTTTACTGGAAAGAGGTGGTATTATGCTTTCCTATTATATTTTCATAATAATTAGGAAATGGCAGAAAGAGAAAGTGTATTTCTGACTCTTGGCTGCTTTCCACATGGGTAATTGAATGAATAGGCTTAACTTCTAATCTCTGACCCATCTGAATTACAAATCTGCTACTTAATTCTCTTAGGTTTCATTAGAGAATATAAATGTGTGTCTCATAGTTACATATCAAAATACATTTGAGTTATGACATAACATATTTGTGATTAGAAATTAACTGCTGCTTTTGTTACCATTCCTTAACTATTATTCACCTTTGAAATCTTCAGGCTTTCCCAGAAGATAACTAATAATATTGTTTATTTTCTTCCAAGAAATGCTGATATTGACCAGGTAAGCCACTACTAAGAAATTTCTATGATCCTCTGGCATAACTTACAAAAAAATGGGCAGAAAAAAGATAACAGGACCTTCCTTTGAGAACATATTTATGAGAAGTCTCTGGGTTTTTTACTATTATTAGAAAACTGGAGGTGTTTGGCAGTTAAATCCATGCCCGTTTCATCCACTTCATCTCCACAGCTGCAGGAGGACATATATATATATAGAGAGAGAGAGAGAGAGAGAGAGAGAGAGAGAGAGAACCCTCTGGGCTTTTAATTATATGTTCTGAAAGGATAACTGAATGTGTTGTGTTTCAAATGCACATCCCAAACTAGCCAAGATCTGTCTTTATTGAGACCTACCTTGAGAGTAGAGGTTTTAGGTATTCCTCAAAAGAGGAGCCTAAATAGAAATATACAGACAGATGAAACCTTAATTTGGCCAGAAGCAATTTTAACTGTGGTCTTGGAATATAGGACACTTGGCTAGTAGTTGAAGAGTTTAATGTCCTTATTCCATTCTTCCTGTAAACACTTATTTAATAATGTAATATTTTCTCTTATAGAATTGGACTTGACGTAACTGCCTCATAAACATTTGATGTCTTTACTTCATGTTTTTGTTGATTTGCTTTCTGTAAACAGTTACTGCTATCATATCTATGATAACACTTAACATATTATCATATGTATGATAAGCATTCTGTTGAAAATGTTGGTCTTTTTATATTTTAAATTTTACTGTAGTGTTGTTACTAGCTCTGAGGTTTTCCTTTCTCTCCTATTTGATACTGAGAGCCGACCCTGTCTTTCTGACCTCTTTCATCTTGTTCTGAAGAAATTATCTCCCATTATTTATTCAACTAAATTTTTCACCACCTTTGTTCCTTTTTCTGGAGTATCACTTATGTGGACATTAGTCTTTCAAATTTATATTTCCTGGTGTTTTTTCTCTTCCTTTTTCTTCTGGGAGATCGGGTCTTCCAACTAGCTCATTCCTCAGGTATATGTGTTCTTTTATCTATCTCACCTATTGTTTTTTAGTTCAACTATTACATTCTTTATACTTAATATTTCTGCACTGTTTTTTGTTTTCTTTTACACTCTAATAATAATATCTCTTACTGTTATTTTAAGAAGTTTAAATTCCTAATCTGGTCTACCCTTTCTGTATTTCATATAATTTAGAATTCATTTTGTTTTTCTTCCATGAAATACTTGTGGTCCTCAATATCTTGTCTTACTATGTATTGGCTGTTCTCAAGTAATGCAGGAGATAGGCTGTACTTTAGGGTCCCTGGGGACCTTTGGAAAAACTGTAACTGTCTAAATGCCAGATCATCTTAATGTGTAGCCTGGGTTGACAATCACTGCTGAAGTTTGTGTTAGCCCCAGTGATAACCTCAAGGGATGAAAGTGGGTAGGCTATGGGTTTGCCAACTCAGGCACCACAAGACTGCAGTTATCACCAAACACCATCTCAGGACACAGCTCCTCACCTTTGAGGAGGATCTGGACAGAAACAGATTTAAAGGTTGTATTCTTCAATCTTCTACTGTCATTCCTCACCTCACTGGTATGGAGAAGGAAGAGTGAGATAGTGGGATTAGTTCCCACCTGTTCTCAGCTCTTCACAGCAGGATTTCTTTTCAGACTGTCCTCACTTTACTCCTGAACATAGACCAGAGTTCCCAGTTTCTCTAAGTGATATACCAAATGCAGGGTGATTGGGAGGGAGCAGCAAGAGCAGAATTTCTTTTAATTTTTTTTTTTTTTCAATTTAGAGAGAGAGAAAAAAAAACACAAGGGAGGGGGGCAGAGGGAGAGAGAGAGAAAGAATCTCAAGCAGACTCCTCTATGAGTGCAGAGCCTGATGTGGGGGCTCAATCTCACGACCCTGAGCTGAAATCAAGAGTTAGCTGCTTGATCAGCTGAGACACTCAGGCACCCTGAGAGCAGAATTTCTAAGTTCTTGTTTTCTTTCTTCCCATCTTAGCTTCTCACAAGCACAAGCACTTTCCTCCTGCCATAAGCAAGAGGCACTCCCCTCCATCCTACACACACACACACACACACATTCAGACAATCTTGGGTCTCCAGAAGATTCTTTAGGGCTTGCAGTAGCCAGTATTCATGCTAGTTCAGCATCTTCTTAGGGCTTTGGTCATGGGGACATAAATAATGCAACCTTCTCATTAAAAAGATGGAGATTAAATGCTCTGGCTATCTTGTTGGATGACTTCAAGAAAGGTTCTGATGATCTAAGGTATAAATTGGACTTTAAAGAAGCTTTGATTGTAGGAGTTGAGGAGAAGGTGGCAAGAGCACCATTGACATGGAAGTGAGCATATATGGATAATGTTCAGTTAATGGGCTCAAAACCAGACAGAGAAAGAGAGATTAAAAATCAAACAGACCTAGTTTAGTCTTAGCCCTGCCACTTACTAGCTGTTTGGTGACGATTATGAGGCATAAATGAGTATGTGGGTATAGCACTTAACACCAGTACCTCTAGCCTATAAACTCTCAATAAAGTCCTATGTATGTAACTTTGAAGATCCTATTACAAAGTTTTTGTGAGAAGAATGTAAATGTTGCTAACACTTTGAGGGCCAGTATGGAAAGATGACATTTTTCTCTAGAGGATAGAATAGAAGGTTTTATATTTGTGAAATGATAGAATTTAATTTATAAACACACTTCCCAGATCATATATTTTTCTCTTTCTCTTATCAGAAACATATACTCACTTGAAAGGGCATATTCTTATGTCAGTTTGTCCCCCTTTCCCAGTCTTGGCTTATTTCCTTGGTCTTTGGAACACTGGCTCTCAGCTCTGGCTGCTAATTGGAATTGCCTGAGTGGCTTTTTATTGTGGTAAGATACACGTAGCAAAACTTAAACCATAAACTATTTGTAAACATACAGTTTAGTGGTATTATATACATTCACACTGTTGTGCAACCATCCCCACCATCCATCTCAAAACTTCTTCATCTTCCCAAACTGAAACTCTACTTTTAAACACTGACTCCCCATTACCTGGAAACCGCCATTCTACTGTCTCTATGAATTTGATGATTCTAGGAACCTCAAATAAGTAAAATCATACAGTATTTGTCCTTTTGTACCTAGCTCTTTTCCCTGAGCATAATATCCTCAAAGTTCATCCATGTTTCAACATGTGTCAGAATTTCCTTCCTTTTTAAAGCTATTTGAATAATACTGTATTGTATGTATATGCTACATTTTGTTTTTCCATTCACCTGTGGAGTTTTTGGGTTATTTTCACCTCTGGCTGATGTGAATAATGCTGCTATGGGTGCATAGTATCTATTCCTGCTTTCAGTTCTTTCTGGTATATAGCCAGAAGCAAAACTGCTGAATCATAGAGTAATTCTGCTTAGTTTCTTGAGGATCCACCATACAGTTCTCCATGGCAGCTGAACCATTTTACATTTCTACCAACAGTTCTTTTTTCTTTTTTTCAAAGATTTTATTTATTTGACAGAGATCGGAAGTAGACAGAGAGGGGGAGTGGGGGGGAAGCAGGCTCCCCACTGAGCAGAGAGCCTGATGCAGGACTTGATCCCAGAGCCCTGGGATCATGACCTGAGCCGAAGACAGGGGCTTAACCCACTGAGCCACCCAGGCGCCCCATCTACCAGCAGTTCTTTAAGAGTTGCGGTTTCTCCACATTCTCGATAACATTTGTTTTTTTGTTTGTTATTTGTAATAATACCTAATGGGTATGAAATGGTATCTCATTGTAGTTTTGATTTGCATTTCCCTCATGACTAATGATGTTGACCATCTATTCACATACATATATTCTGGCTATTAATCCCTTATCTGTATATGCTTTACCCATATTTTTCTGCATTCCATGAGTTGCCTTTTTACTATCTTGACAGTGTTCTTTGCTGCACGAAGTTTTTAATTTTGATGGAGTTCAACTTGGCTGTTTTTCTGGATATTCCCTGTACTTTTGGTGTCGTAGTCAAAAATTGTTGCCAAATCCAATGTCATGAAATTCCTCCCTGTGTTTTCTTCTGGGAGTTTTATCATTTTAGTTGAGTAGCTTTTAAAAACTACCAGTACCCTGGTCCACTGGGAAAGATTCTCTCTGATTTATTTTCTGGATGAGGCCCACACATGAATTTTTTTAAAGTCCCTAAATGATTGTAATGTGCTGCTAGATTTGGGATTCTCTGGGTAAAGAGAAGGGTAAATAAAATGAACGAGCCTGAGCTCTTATTCTGGGTTAGAAGGAGATGAAATTAGATCTTGTTACCTGTCATTTGTTTATAAGCCACTGTGTCTAAACATTAGACCTCCCAAATACTATATGCTGTAGCGGTTACAAGAAAAAGTACTGTCCTCTTGCTCCCTGCATTTTTATATCAAATTTGATATTAAACCATACCTGCTACTCATGTGACTCTGATCTGCATCACAGATTGCCAGATAAGGGTTGAGCCTGTTGATTCCATAATTCTTATTTGCCCATGTAAATTGCAAATCTCAAAGTTTCAAAGAGGGTATATGATCCTTATATTAAAAATTAGATGGGCTTACTTGGATACCAGAATGACAATAGGAAATTTACTACTTATTATAAAAGTTACAATGAGTACATTTTTTCTAGTTAAATTAACACCAGCCCAAGGAAAAAGTTAACTTTTTTCTTTTAACCTGTGTTTTTGGTTTCCTTCAACAACCTGTTAGAATCACAGTTGGTGATTTTACATTTTCTACCTGTAGAGGGAGTAATGACACTGAAGAATGATAAAAGTCAAAAAAGAAATGAGATTTCAAGTATATTATATTGTTTGGTATTAAATTTGGGTCAAATTACAGAAGGAGGTCAGCTTTTCTTTTTAAAATGAAGAAAATCTATCCATATGTAGGATTTTTTAAATGAGAGAAAATGCAGTACTGCAAGAATGAGAGAATGTACTGTTACAGAGAAGTCAGCTTTTTTGTTAAGGATTGTTTAGAATGTCACAG